ATAATTCATCACCTCCAAAGGCTCGGAGTCGCTTTTGAACTCCATAAAGGCTGGAGAATGAGTTATAGTCAGCTCTTGTTTAAATATGACAACAGTACTCCATTTTATAATCCTTGCCTTCAGTTCATCTTTCGTGTTACAAGAGTTTTGTTGGTTTCTCGTTAAACTACGCCCTACACATAATAATCAGGGGCGTTGCAGTTTGGGGAGTTAGCTGGAGAGATATAAGGGGTGATGTGGTCGCAGAAATAGTCTGACAGCCACAACTTGTCTGGTGCAGATCCCTATGGCCAGACATAGAATTTTCCAGTAGTCACTCTCTAGACCCAAGGTAGAAATACCTCCTAAAGGCAGTTCAGTCTAATAGCCCCACCTACGAATGCGGGGGTTATTTTCTTATCAGTGTGAGTTTTCCGACTTGCCGTACCTTCGTAATCACCATTAGACTCATACAACTCTTTTCGAATCCTCTCCTCTTTCCTTATATTGACACCCAAACACTCTTAAATGTTTCTATTGGAGCTTCAGGTACGAATGTCAAACAGTACAGCATGCTGCTTCTAAATTTCTGGTGGCGTGAATTGCGTCATGTTCCTCTTTTCCTCAGGGACGTTGCCCAATTGATTTTACTATATAATACAGTCAATAAAATCATAAATAAACAAGGGACATGCGCGAAATTAAGAATATGAATTGACGATTATTTAGCCATTTCACTCTGCATATATATATATATATATATATATATATATATATATATATATGTTACAATTGTAATTAAGATACCATTAGTTAATGACTATTTTCACCCATGAATTTAAATTTAATATTCGCAGGATTTTTTTTACATTGTTTATGGTGTCAGTTTGTAGAAAGAGACGCTTCTACATCTACAAATTCACACCATAAACATTGTGAAAAAATCTGCAATTTTAAATTTAAATTTGTAGGGGAAAATAGTCGTTAACTAATGGTAATTTAATTTCAATTGTTTAAACATTTAGATCCATTTAATGTAAATACGCATTGAGCGGTCTTTGTGAGCCAGTATTAACATTTAATATTTAATATTTCTGATTCTATATCGTGTAAATAAGATTCGTTTGGATTATACGAACGGATTACTATATATATATATATATATATATATATTTTTATATATATATATATATATATATATATATATATATATATATATATATATATATATGTGGAAAAAAAAGATTTTTGTGTGAGGGTTTTCGTCCATTTGAATTCATCCCAGTAGGTTAGTTTAAGTGGATGTGATTACACATGTGTACAACGAGATACTCTGTGAATTTTAAAGTTAGAATTTTTTAAATGTGTTTGTTGTGTATATAATGATGTCAATCGCATTTAGATTCTTTTAATTTTATTTTTCCATCATTTTGTTATTAAATATCCCACATATTGATAACAGTAGATCTATCAAGACTGGCGAAATATTATAAAAACCTGGAAACAAACTTACTGTGGATGATCTATCGATTAAAGCTCTTTTTAAAATGTTTGTCTTATTGAATTATTTTCTCTTTAAATTGGAGTAGCATTTTTTATGGCAAAATTGTGGTCTCTAATGCGTTTAATGCATTGTTTAATTTATATATATATATATATATATATATATATATATATATATATATATATATATATATATATATATATATATATATATATATATATATATATATATATATATATATGTGTATATATATATATATATATATATATATATATATATATATATATATATATATATATATATATATATATATATATATATATATATATATATATATATATATATATATATACTTTATGTATGTATTTATAATTTAAAATTCAGAGTGCCACATGTATTGTCGCAGTCTATATTTCTGAGATGAAGTATTATGTACAAGGATACATGGCACAGTGGGTAAAGACGTTAGTGAGATCCAGTGACAGGACCCAAAGAGTGTGAGTTCAATACCCGGTTAAAGCTGTGGAGACCATTCAGAGGGAAAATTAACAGGAGATAACTGACTTCCATTAAACATGGCACGTGGAACTAGAACAGTCTACCCCAGTCTTACGCACACGCTATGATGGTTTCAGCCATTATGGTTTCGTCGGGCGGAAGATCGTACTTAATTTTAATTTTAAGATTTAAAGCTCCATGCTTTCAATTTATCGGATTGAGATGGAGAACTTTCTAATACAACCCTCCCCTTCTCGGACTGAACTCTGACCTACAATCGGTTTATATATATATATATATATATATATATATATATATAGTGAGCCAAACTTTCCTTGACGATCCGTTTAGGTGAAACCTATGTAGGTTTGTCTGGCTCACTAGGTGTATCTAGGTCTGCTCTACGGTTGTATTGAGCTCTTTTTGTTAGTTAGTTGTTACTCGTATCAGGGTTTTTCTTTGGGCTTCAGACCTGTATCTGTGCGATTTTTTGTCGGCAGAAGTTCATGTTTGTAGCTCTTTCTTTTTAAAACCTTTTTTTTCCTCGAGATTGATTTGATTAGCAAATCAAAAATTCAAGGTTTTTTCGAAACGAGTCTAGTTCTCTCTCTCTCTCTCTCTCTCTCTCTCTATATATATATATATATATATATATATATATATATAATGATAGATAGATAGATAGATAGATAGATAGATAAAACGATAGGAAAACTGTATTATTAGAAGACGCGGCTAATAATCCAGTTTTCCTATTCTGTTTTACCTTGTAGAATATTATCTTTTCTATAGGTTATCTCTGAGAATTTTTTCATATATATGTATATATATATATATATATATATATATATATATATATATATATATATATATATATATATATAATTAAAGTTAAGCAAGCAATATTACAACATATATATATACTCGGAAATGTTTTTGTTTTGATTTATATTTCAGTGTTTGTATATGTCAAAACGCCACAATTTATAGATTCACTTGTTAAATAGATAAGAGTAATTTAGCTCCAGAATCCTTTTTTAAAATTGGTTTTCTTCTGTCAAATTTCTGTGCATCATTTCTATCAAAATATAATTTATTTTGGGTGAAGACTAGAGTGAACAAACTTTACTAATTATATAAGCGACCAATATTTACCTATACCCGAAGCAATTCTATGCTTATAGACACATACATAAACCAAGAATATTCACGTCTACTCCAACCAGCTAAATTAAAATTAGTTGATCAACTTCCTTAGCAGTAAACCCAGCAATTCCTTCAGTATCACCTGATGATTGTGGAAAACGTTAAACTGGGGTGTATATTTTATTAACCTTAAAATCAGGATATTCACTCAGAGATAGTTTTTATAAACCATATCCGATATCACATCAATTAGAGAACGAAAAATATCTTCGGTAACATAAATTTAATTCGATAAAATCATTTCAATGTTTAGTTGTATTTCTTTTTAATTTCATTTCAGGATTATTGGCTTTCAGTCATGACATTATAGAAAATGATTATTTGGTTGTGTACTGTGCTTTTATTAAACGATTTCCTTCTAATGATGGACATTCTCCGTAATAAAATTGGATTTCGAGTTGATAATAGAAACATGGCCTATACTTAATATCATTGTTAAACAGCAAAACCGCCATGAATACCACCAACCGTAAAAGTAATAAAAAAAGCAATTAATTCTGAAGGCACATTATTGAAGAGACATTGACCAGATGCTTTTCGAAATCAGAATGTATGATACGGTCTTTAAAAGAAGGGAATAATATGTATGGTTCTTCTGTTATTTAATCTGTTGTCGGGGGGATGATGAGTTCATTCCTTTTTCACGGGGCATAATTGCTTAAGAACTGAAACATTCGAAAGTCTTTGAGTTTATTATGTTACCTAGTCAGATTTCATAACGTATATATATATATATATATATATATATATATATATCCAGCCCTTATCTCAAATAACAACTTAAAAGAGACTGTTTGACCAACACAAGCAATGTTAAAAGATCCATGTTAAAAAGATAAAAAAATAAAAAAACAAATGAAAACTACGGACAAAAGTTCATTTTCTCCATCAAGACATTCATTTCTGTAGTTTACTGCTACCAGCAAGCAGAGATATTTCTTCTCCCGATGATGGCCATTTTGGCCGAAACTAGTCGAGGAATCTAAATGAAATAATAATAATAAAGCGAAAGAGAATTAATCTACAATCCAGTGTGTCTGATGATTTAAATTTTTTATTATGTTTTTATTGTTAAAAATATATATATATATATATATATATATATATATGTAAAATTCATTGTGTAACATTCTCTCCCTCCTCTTCTAGACACACTCTCTCTTTCCGTCGCTCTCAATCAACCCATATGTAACCACATTTATGTATATATCTGTACTTTTGTTAAGTAAGGAAACACGTTGTAGGATCCTGGATATAAATTCAGCTTAGATGATTAAGAAATAAATGCAATTTCAATGTATTTCACAATTATCGTCAGACTTATTACGAAAAACAACGAGAAAAATATATGCAAACGCCTGAAGATTATATTTTAGCCATTCTTTCGCTCTACAGAAAGGGAATTACAGGAGTCACGAAATACTAATGGAAAGCAAGAAGAAAGGACTAAACATAAATTGTAAGAAGACAGAATCTATGGTTATCATCAAAATTCTAACTCCGAATGGGAGACAAGAAATTGACAAAATGCAAAACAATTCATCACCCTCAAGACCGCGTAGACGCTTTTTAATTTTATCGAGTAAGTAATCTCAGAACATTTCAGAAATACTTCATATACCAACCTACCTACATGCGTTGGTAGAATATAGTACGTTGCCATTTTAACGTGGAATAAGTAGACGTTTTTATATGTAGGCCAGGATAGTTGGTCAGTCATCGCTACCTGTGCTATGCACTTGTTAGATTCCCACAAACGCGCATTTGGGGTGATATTGTCAAATGGTGTGTAGGATTAATATTCTATACTTACCTCATGTTATGAAATGAACTGTCCCAATGCAGACCGCCATATCTATGCGACGATAGAAGAAAACGGCTTAAAGAAGAAAGAGATACTACAAGTTGATCTCAGCAAAAACGACGAGGATATCGCCTTTAACACGTAGCTGAGTGTATAGTATTTTTATAAAGAGACGTTTTGATTTAGTAGTAAATAATCGCATGACTTTTCATTTTTTATAACAAATATGAAACTTTGCTTATTAAGACATCACTTACAAGATTACCCGGTTTTATGTCTAATTATAATATATATATATATATATATATATATATATATATATAAAAAAAAACGTAATTTTAAGGTGTGCTATATTATGGGAATAAGTGCTCAATATCAGAGATAGAGCGTATATAAATATAAATATAAAAGTGAACATTGAAATCAACACTCAGAGGCGACAAGAGGTTTCATGCTGGACGCAATCGTCAGGCCGCGAATGCTGGATTTTTCCTCGGCTATTTTATATAGGGGGTAGTGGGGCATAATAAAAATAAGCATAAAGAAGCAAAGAACCAGTAAAAATAATAAATCCAAATAAATTAAAAACTATCCACCCGCCAAATTAACAGAATAGACTACGGCAAGCAATCTAAATATTGGATGAATAAATAGCTTTAATTATCTTCTCAGACCGAAATAAACTATTAAATAAGCGACCTAAATAAATCCCCCCAAATTTTTTTACTACGTAAACAAAACATCAAAAACGAAAAAATAAATAATACAAAATGAAAATGATAAACAAGTAAAATAAATTAACCCAAGCAAATAAATAAACAAACAAGCCACTCCCGCAAAAATAACCCCTAGAAGAGATTACCCATAATGAACCACTGACCCATATATTCGCGGGCCTGACGATTGCGTCCAGCATGAAACAGCTTGTCGCCTCTTGGTATTAACTTCAATATATATATATATATATATATATATATATATATATATATATATATATATATATATATATATATATATACCAGTAAACTATCCATGAGATGCGGGACTTGATTTCTATTCTCGGTGAAGAGGTCCGATCATTTCAGTGTATGAAAAACATAGTTGTACCACTTCTCCTCATATCATGCTCTCTTTGCAAGCGTCAAACCAGATCAAAAATGGAATAGTGTTGTCTTTTCTAAGCTAGAACTGCCCAATACTTGCTTTCCAATCGAGACAGAATTCAAAAGATTTTACGTTTAGCGATTATGTTCAACCATATAGGCCGTAACCAACAGACGATTATGCGAACAACGAATAGTTTTAGGGAAATTGGAAACAAAAAGGCAACTTATACATAACATCAGCAAGAGACAGCTGGAATTTCTCGTGCACATAAAGAGAAAAGAACGCTTGGAAAATCTGTTACTCACAGGACAGAAATCAAGAGGGACAAAGGAAAACATACTTAGAGAGCTTGCGTGAACAGGCTTTGGGAGAAATAACAGAAAGCCAATATTCACTAATTACAAAGGACAGAATTGTTGAGAAGATCGATGGTGGTATACGCCCGGGGGGACTTGTCATATAAAGATTAGGAGCAACAACGAAAGAGAAAAACATATAAGCTTATTTAAAAAAAAAACAAAAAAAAACATTTAGCTTATTTAAAATATTCAGGGATTTAAATGTATTTCAAATTGTTTGAGATTTACTATGAGGCACGATTTCCTTACGTCAAATTCCCTCGGACTTACAATAGGATCAATTGTTTCTTATTTCAAACCGTCTGGAAATTATTTCAAATCATGTTGCTCGATCGACAGACAATATTTTCCTAGTTTCAAACAGTCTGCAAAGGACGATGTTTTCCTAGTTTCAAACAGTTCAACAAAGGACGATGTTTACTTATTTCAGTTCGTTTTGCATTTACAAAATGTAAGAATATCTAATTTGAAATCGTTAACCTCGACCTAAAAGTAAGGTTTTATTATTTCTTATTCGTTTCCTTGAAGATTTGTATTTGCATTAATGCTCGTGTTCTCCGGGATTCTATCCTTGCACCTACATTTCTAATTTTCACCATTGACATTCCTGATGTCATCAGTTCCCATCTTGGCGTCCATGTACATGACACAATTATTTAATTCTGTCTTAATAGTAAATTTGATCGGTTTTAAGCTGATCCCAAAATTAATCTACACTCTTTTGTCAAATGGGGCAAGGGGAAGATTGTTAATTTTAAATCCTCATAAACAAAACTCCTCTCCTTTAATTTTCTCTGAGAAGGCTTTTTTACATTCCATCATCATGACTGATTTTAACCCCTATTACGCCTTCTAGGACTAACGTCTTCAGGTGATATGAAGTGTAAAGAGTATATTGAATCAATTGTTGAATTTGCCGCTAAGAAGTTAGGTTCAATGTGTCTATTAGTCACCAGAATTGATCTTTTATAAGTCTACCAGTCGTCCTTGCTTCCAAAAATGTTGTCACATCTGGTCTAGTGTACCTGCAATATATTCAGAGATTCTTGATAAAATTCAAAGAAGAATCTGCAATGTCCTATCCTGGCAGCACGCCTACAGTCTCTGTCCACTCGCCCTTCACTTTCCTTTTTTATACATATTTTTATTGTGATTGTTCAGATTAACTTTTCTCTATTGTATCTTATTGATTTAAGCATTTGTATTAGATGGTCTCATTTTACAGTTGAAATAGTGAGATATAACCGTCAATTTTATGCTAAAAGTTTCTTCCATCGCACTTCTCGCTTGTGGAACTCTCTTCCGGCTTCTGCTTCCGAGTCAGATTTGATCTTCAGATAGTTAATGTCAATAGTTATTTTCTGTTTTCTTAATACTTGTTCTTTTATTGTCTTCTGTACTTAATTTTATTTTTGACATATATTCTCTAGCACACAGTAAAGCCATCCATATCCTATTTGTTTTGTTGCCATGTTTGGGATTAAATGATTAAAAAAAGGATTAGATATGGTTTTCTTTTTTCAGAACCATTGACCAATCGAACAAAATGAAATAAATATTTCCCATATAAAAATCTCTATATTATAAAAAGGAAGTGTAGAACATCTTTTTAAAATGACCCGAAGTACACTACGCAGAAATGGCAAAATATTAGTGATCGAAAAACCAAACCAAATGATGGTTAAATACTTGCTAAAAAAGAATTTTTGAATTTATAAGCGTCGATGTTTCGAAATATGACGTCCCATTTTAAAAATATAAATTTATAATCGCGTCGTTGGAAATGGAATGAGAAAATATAAAGATATGACATAGTGTCGTGACCTGGTAGCCTAGACTTCAATATGTGATGCCAAAAACCTTCATATCTTTCGAAACACAACTCGTCCTGACCACAGTGAAAGTCTTTCCATTAAATACGCACAAGCCAGCTAATGGCTGTCACCTACGGTTTTAGACAAACAGACAGTTGAAACATTTATAGTAGCCTTGGGGCAAAATGTGTATGGTGACCCGTGTCACGATTACTCCGTTCTTTCCCCCAAGTTAGACAGATCGCTGAGAAACAAAGTGGTCGGGGTAAGTAGAGACAGACAGCTCTATACAAGGGACAAGCGAGTGAAATCTTATGGTTTAATTTTATTCAATTTTTTTTTTTTTCGGTGGCGGGGGCGTCTGCTTGTTTCCAACAATTTTATTATTTTCTCGAACATTCTTTTTAAAAATTATTAGAATGAGAAGAGTGGTTCTTATACCTTGCAGGCATAAATGTCGAAAATCACATGACTGAGTAAGAAGGAATAAATATAATGAATAATGAATGTGAATATATATATATATATATATATATATATATATATATATATATATGTGTGTGTGTGTGTGTGTGTGTGTGTAGCTACATGGATATATATATATATATATATATATATATATATATACATATTTTATAACTAAAAATGTTTAAATAAAATATGTTTAATAACGGATATGAATTTAACATATTTATGGAAATAATTAGGTAATAATGTTTTTAGCTTTTCAAAATTGATAATGCATATATATATATATATATATATATATATATATATATATATATATATATTCACACACAGAGATAGATAGATAGATAGATAGATAGATAGATAGATAGATAGATAAAATGTTATATACTGATATATGTTAAAGTATGTCGAGCTATTGTTTAAACTGAATATGTTTAACAGAATTCGCATATATAAAAATGATAATAATAATTATGTTAGATATTGATATACCTAAAATTATGTAATGCAACCAATTTACATATGCAGAGGCGGGCGCACGCATATATACAAACACATAGAATCGAGAAAGAGAGGGGGGGAGTCGAAAGAAATTTGCTTCGACACATTTTGCACACATTTTCCGAAAGGATCACAAATCAGAATTTTTTTAAAGTTACTTAAATTTTCAACACTACTTGGGAGCGCACAAGCAAGCACCAACACAGAAATATACACACACAAATGCACACACACACACACACACACACACACACACACACACACACATATATATATATATATATATATATATATATATATATATATATATAAAGTTGCCTGAGGATTGCGTCTAGCAAGAAACAGCCTGTCGCCTCTGTTGACTTCAATGTTCACTTTTATATTTACATACGCTCTGTCTCTGATATTGACCATACTGTTCATTTCTGTCGAACTCTCTCTTCCTCGAGCAGAGAGGAAATCGGGAGAGGCTTTGCCGCAGGGCAATGGTTTCGTCCGGGGAGGTAGATAGTCCCTGAACCCGTTTAGGCGTGTTCAAAGGGGATATTTTTGGCCAAACCTACGGGCTCGAAGTTCTCACAATAAACCGGCCATGTGCCACATACACCCTCGTGGTGGGGGTGGCTGTAAAATATTAACAGTCGAATAGACCGTGAACCGACACACACTAACTAGTCATATAATTCTCTTCTGTTTTACTTACTGGTTAATATATGATAATACCTGTAGCACTTGTTTTGTTATTTCTTTAACTATTTACTTGGTCACAACAATTGTGAATATCAAATTTTCCCAGACCTCTTTCTTTATTATATGCCCAATATTTTCAACTGTTTCTTCCGTTTCCGTTCCATTTTCTCTCATAATTCGCCGTTGCGCACATGTTCACGCCATGGTAACCTCAGCCTTTTTCTTTCAGGGGATTTTCATGCATTCACTGCCATATAGCGGACAGATATCACGTAACATTTCATTACTCTTTTCTTTGTTTTTAACGAAAAGGACAAAAGAAAAATCTCAGTATATCATAAACACTGAAAAATACACATGTCAATGCTCACCAAATGTTGACAGCCAACAGAACAACATAATATACCAAGTTGCTTTTATTTCCGAAGGAAACCCAAAAAGTATGTAAAAGAATAGCGGTCTTCAGAAACGGAAAAGATACTAACACAATACATTATTTAAATATTAATATAGGATCTCCCATAATGATGGGCTGCATTTTATATGTATCTTGCATTACAAGAGAGTCTCACGGAATTTTATAAAAACACGTAGGATTACATTTACATATTGTTATTATTATGTTATCAACACATATCGTCTTTTACTAATAATACTTATAGCAATAATACTTCTCTTTCAAAATATTTTTGAAAATAAAACTCTTAAAGTTAAATGGAAAATGTTAAATCTGGCAAGGACATATATATCTTTATATAAACCTTGTTTTCAGTTTTTACAGGAGAAAATGCAGATTATCAGGTTCTTAAGTAGGGATGCTTTATTGAATCAAAGATTTGAACTAACTGTTAATTGTAAACACATCACACTTTGACCCTACAATCTTGTTGGACTTCGAAATTTGGAAGTTGCTTCTTATTATATTTTAGTTAAACTTTGTTGCCCCATCTAAGGCTTATGTTTCTGTCGGTAAGATAAATTCGACGTAATAATTTTTTTTACATTAAACTTCTAGTAGTGTTGGTAATATATAGTATCGATGTATTTGTGTCTGTCTGACATTTTGGCATTTTGCAATGATTTGTCTTATTAACACCCATTAACATATAAATAGCCTTTAGTCAACAGTTGCATTCGATTTTGTATGATCTATATATTTAAATAATTTCGTTAGTTGTATATTTTTAAATAATTTTGTTTGATCTATATGTTAAAATAGTTTCGTTAGATCAATATGTTGCAATAATTTTCTTAGATCTATTACTTTAAACATCCTATTTATTTCTTAAAGGGCTGTATAATTTACGAACTATAAAATTGTGAATTTTTTACTTTTTAACTCACAGGGTATGTAGTTTGTCGAGTATCTTGTTAACTTACTTTTCTTCTTTAAAAGGAATGGCATATATCTAATGTAAAACATTATAGAAAATTTACATCCGTATTGAAAATAATGTCTAGATGTCGTCTACGATTATAAATCTGGGTCATGACCTCTTATTTATGATTGCTTCTTAAATTAGTTTTTCCCCTTACTTTGAACTGAGCTTAGGCTATTCTGATTGGTTGAAACAAAAAAAAAAAAAAAAAACCTGCTACTATCTCCTGTCTTTTATTTCTTATGCTTTTTCTTACTCTTCCTTTTATCGGGAAAAGTGGGCGTATCTTGTGACTTTCTGTCGTACTATTTTTCTCTTCTTTTTCTGGTTGTATGCTGTTTTTATATCTCAATAAATTGTCTACTAACCAGTTATTTACTAACGACCGATATGTCTTAATACACATCGAAACATTATTGTACATATGTAGCGTTTTACATGTTTTTGGTGTAATATGTAATATCCTAAAATAGTGTGTATATATATATATATATATATATATATATATATATATATATATATATAATGAATGAGAAGGGCTCGGACAGAGGGCTCGGACAGCCAAGTTCGAATTCCAGTCGAATCCACTGCATTCACTCACGTGCTAATTCTTTCTCCTGCTATGGGTAATTAGCAGGGCAGATTAGGTTCTATAGCCTTGGATGGCAATTGTCTATGAGAAGGACAACTCTGAATTAAAAACCTGCGGAAGTTTGTTTAGAGATCCTGTGGCACATTGTCTACCTGTTTCTTTTATTGTATTCCAAAAAATATAACAAAGCTTGCCTTCCATAGCCTAAAGTATTACGAAAGTTGAAATATTTATTATAAACAAAGAAAAGCGAATCATAACTATTCCTCTCTGCAGCAATGAATCCTGGGAGATTTCCTCGCAGAATATATATATATATATATATATATATATATATATATATATATATATATATATATATATATACTAGCAGAAACCAGGCGTTGCCCGGGGATGTAACAGTAAGAGATAGATCAATTATCGACCATCATAAAGACTGAAAAATAAAATTGACAAAGATTATTATTTAAGGTTGACGGACACACATGTCTTAATTAGTTTTTTTTTTTTTAGTTTGTTTTTAAGAATTGGTCAAACCCAAACTCAAACAAAAACATTGATTTCAATCGTTATGAGCCTACCGATTGAATAGAATTTTATTATAAACAATTGTCTTGTAAATGGAATTTTTAAAGCATTCTGAATGTAAAAATAAAGAAAAAAGTCTGCAAGACAATAAGAAACACTACCTGCAAAAAAAAGTGATTTTTTCTTGAAATCGGTTGAAAAATGTAGGAAAACCGATCCCATATATAAACAAACACACACAAACAAACAAACAACCTAGGTTTTATAAGTATAACTCGATATGAGTTGTCCCCCTTTCATTCTGACGAAAGAATCGTGTTTAATCGTGTTTTCAAATTGATTTCGTGCAAAAACAATTGTGTTTTTCCAATTTTTTGCCATGTAAGAACCACCGCAAGCTAATTGTACGCAGTCCTGTGAAGTTTTGTTGAAATCTGTTAAAAAATGTAGGAAATCCGATCCAATATATAAACGTACACACACACACACACACACACACACACAAATCTGCGTTTTTTAATAAGTAAGATAATGAAAGGGACAAAGTCCGACAATTATTTTATGACATTTTTTTTATGTTTATAAAAAGAACATATAAACATAAATATGTCATAAAATAATTGTCGGACTTTATCTATTTCATAATGTGTGAAGTCATTTGTTTACATTTGGAAACGCATCGAGCAGATATGAATATATGAGAGAAAATCATGGAGAATTATAAGTTTAAAAACAGTAAGATCGACCTTACTCGCCGAAGCGCTACTTTGTGGATTAATTGGTAGCACGTCTGGCTATATGACGATTCCGTATAGGAGACAGGTTCGATTCGTGTCAGAGGACGCATATTTTGTATGAAAATTTCTCGGACATTAATGTCGTTAATACTGTTTATTATAAAAAGAGCCCTTAAATATTTGTATCTATAAAAAAGAATGTATAGACATAAAAACGTGATTTTATTTTTTTTTTTTTATATATATATATATATATATATATATATATATATATATATATATATATGAAGAATGCATTCAAAACTGGGATGATGTTCTGTAGAGAGATACGCATGACAACATGGACTTAACAGGTGAGCAACGACAATTTAATAAATACATTTTAGAATTAAAATCCGTAATGTTGAAATTTCGTGAACACAAACATTTTTAGTTGTTTTTGTTTACCAGCATATTAACCTCTATGGCTTATTTAATGCCGAAATTTAAATATTTTGTACACAATTTTATTTTACTGTTTGTGGTGGTGGTAGGAGGAGATAATAATGGTTTTGGTTATAAAATCTTACTAATTAATCCGAAGATATTTACGCGTATGTAAATAAAATATACCCAACGGTAATCGGAACTCGTCTCTTCGATTAACAATTCCCAGCCTTTATCCATTTAACCACCCGCATATTCAAGATTATCGGACCTTGTATTCCTCTAGGTACTGACCAGGCTCTACATTGCTTAACTTTGGTGATACAAAGCAAAGAATACTGAACTGTTATATAATATCAGTCGACTTCTATGGCAGTGAATGCTGGACGATCTCGCCATAGATAAAGAGACCTGAAGCAAGAGAAATGTGCCATCTCGGTACAAACCATGGTTTACATTGCTTAACCGGTGATCGTACGGGAACTGGTGTTTTAATTCCATATCACCGTAATCCGAACACATTAATATTAAATGAATTTGAAGCATGTTATCCTAAGATGAAGAAGCAACGAAGTTTTTGTTCATGAATGACAGATATGCGACAAAGATGGCTGGCAAAGAATCCAATGTCGCTTAGAGCTATAATGGTCACGATGTTGTGGAGAGCCATGATCGCCAAGGTCCTGAAGTGACCCGACACAAGAAAAACAAATAACATCGTCTCCATCTAAAAAGGCCCAGCCATTTTTCTTGGTTACACTAGGCA